TTGAGGATAAGGGGCAGACACTTTGGAGGCGAAATGAGGTAAAACTTTTTTTCGCTCAGAGGGTGGTAGGGATCGGGAACTCGCTGCGCGGTACAGGCCGGAATCCCTTAGTAGACAGGGCGGTGAGGAAGGGGTTTGGGACGCTCGGTCAGTGCGTTGAGCGTAGGGAGTCGGGGAGGGTCACGTTGCGGCTGTGTGGGTGAGGCCGCTTTGGGAATACCGCGTTCGATCCCGGTCTCCCTGCTACAGGAAGGATGTCGGGAAAGGGGTTCGGGAAAGGGATGTCGGAGGGTTCGAGCTACAGGGAGAGGCTGGGGGGCTGTTTTCCCCGGAGCGTCGGAGGGGGTGACCCTTATAGAGGTTTATAACATCATGAGGGGCATGGATAGCTTTTCCCCAGGGAAGGGGGGAGTCCGAAACTGGAGGGGCGTAGGTTTAAGGTGAGGGGAGGAAGGGGAGCTGAGGGGTAAATGTTTCACACAGAGGGTGGTGTGTGTGTGGAACGAGCTGCCAGAGGAAGTGGGTGGGGGCTGATACAGTTACAGCATTTAAAAGGCGTCTGGATGGGGACGTGGATAGGGAGGGTTTACGGGCCCAATGCTGGGAAATGGGACTAATTTAGGATATCGGGGGGTGGGGGTGGGGTGTGGGTTCAGCACGGACGAGTTGGGCCCAAGGGTCTGCTTCCGTGCTGCACATCTCTGCGACTCCAAGCATTCAGATGGGTGCCAGGGCAGACAAGAGGGTTTGAGTGTTGGAAACTGGGAGTTCAGCGATGGTTATCCAAATGACTGGTGCTGTACAACCCCTGCCCGATGGGCCGAAGGGCCTAAATCAGTGCTGTAGACTCCGTGAGCAAGGAACGTCCACGCTGGGGGTGGACGTCTCGGGAATTCTCCCCTCGGGACCACCCTTCCCGCCCCCCGCACCCACCCCACCTCCTCCAAGACGCTAGGTTCTGCGTTTGCATAGCGGATTTCTCGGGTTGTGAAGGGTAGAGGTACGGTGGGATGGGACAAAAATTGAGTCCCGGGTGGTCTCCCCGCTCCCCCCCCCTAACCCCAACAATCTGAGGAAGGATGCTCGGAGCGAGTGGAAGGATTCATGGG